GTCCGGATAATCGAAAGTCCGGATAATCGAAAGTCCGGATAATCGAAAGTCCGGATAATCGAAAGTCCGGATAATCCGAAAGTCCGGATAATCGAAAGTCCGGATAATCGAAAGTCCGGATAATCGAAAGTCCGGATAATCGAAAGTCCGGATAATCGAAAGTCCGGATAATCGAAGTCCGGATAATCGAAAGTCCGGATAATCGAAAGTCCGGATAATCGAAGTCCGGATAATCGAAATCCGGATAATCGAAGTCCGGATAATCGAATGTCCGGATAATCGAATGTCCGGATAATCGAAGTCCGATAATCGAAAGTCCGGATAATCGAAAGTCCGGATAATCGAAAGTCCGGATAATCGAAAGTCCGGATAATCGAAAGTCCGGATAATCGAAGTCCGGATAATCGAAAGTCCGGATAATCGAAAGTCCGGATAATCGAAAATAATCGAAGTCCGGATAATCGAAAGTCCGGATAATCGAATGTCCGGATAATCGAAAGTCCGGATAATCGAAAGTCCGGATAATCGAAAGTCCGGATAATCGAAAGTCCGGATAATCGAAAGTCCGGATAATCGAAGTCCGGATAATCGAAAGTCCGGATAATCGAAAGTCCGGATAATCGAAAGTCCGGATATCGAAAGTCCGGATAATCGAAAGTCCGGATAATCGAAGTCCGGATAATCGAAAGTCCGGATAATCGAATGTCCGGATAATCGAATGTCCGGATAATCGAAAGTCCGGATAATCGAAAGTCCGGATAATCGAAAGTCCGGATAATCGAAAGTCCGGATAATCGAATGTCCGGATAATCGAAAGTCCGGATAATCGAAAGTCCGGATAATCGAAGTCCGGATAATCGAAAGTCCGGATAATCGATGTCCGGATAATCGAATGTCCGGATAATCGAAAGTCCGGATAATCGAAAGTCCGGATAATCGAATGTCCGGATAATCGATGTCCGGATAATCGAAAGTCCGGATAATCGAATGTCCGGATAATCGAATGTCCGGATAATCGAAAGTCCGGATAATCGAAAGTCCGGATAATCGAAGTCCGGATAATCGTGTCCGGATAATCGAAAGTCCGGATAATCGAAAGTCCGGATAATCGAAAGTCCGGATAATCGAAGGTCCGGATAATCGAAAGTCCGGATAATCGAAAGTCCGGATAATCGAAAGTCCGGATAATCGAAAGTCCGGATAATCGAAAGTCCGGATAATCGAAAGTCCGGATAATCGAAAGTCCGGATAATCGAAGTCCGGATAATCGAAAGTCCGGATAATCGAAGTCCGGATAATCGAAAGTCCGGATAATCGAAAGTCCGGATAATCGAAAGTCCGGATAATCGAAGGTCCGGATAATCGAAGGTCCGGATAATCCGGATAATCGAATGTCCGGATAATCGAAAGTCCGGATAATCGAAAGTCCGGATAATCGAAAGTCCGGATAATCGAATGTCCGGATAATCGAAAGTCCGGATAATCGAAAGTCCGGATAATCGAAAGTCCGGATAATCGAAAGTCCGGATAATCGAAAGTCCGGATAATCGAATGTCCGGATAATCGAATGTCCGGATAATCGAAAGTCCGGATAATCGAAAGTCCGGATAATCGAAAGTCCGGATAATCGAAAGTCCGGATAATCGAAAGTCGGATAATCGAAAGTCCGGATAATCGAAGTCCGGATAATCGAAAGTCCGGATAATCGAAAGTCCGGATAATCGAAAGTCCGGATAATCGAAAGTCCGGATAATCGAAAGTCCGGATAATCGAAAGTCCGGATAATCGAAAGTCCGGATAATCGAAAGTCCGGATAATCGAAAGTCCGGATAATCGAAAGTCCGGATAATCGAAAGTCCGGATAATCGAAAGTCCGGATAATCGAAAGTCCGGATAATCGAAAGTCCGGATAATCGAAAGTCCGGATAATCGAAAGTCCGGATAATCGAAAGTCCGGATAATCGAAAGTCCGGATAATCGAATGTCCGGATAATCGAAAGTCCGGATAATCGAAAGTCCGGATAATCGAAAGTCCGGATAATCGAATGTCCGGATAATCGAATGTCCGGATAATCGAAGGTCCGGATAATCGAAAGTCCGGATAATCGAAGTCCGGATAATCGAAAGTCCGGATAATCGAAAGTCCGGATAATCGAAAGTCCGGATAATCGAAAGTCCGGATAATCGAAAGTCCGGATAATCGAAAGTCCGGATAATCGAAAGTCCGGATAATCGAAAGTCCGGATAATCGAAGGTCCGGATAATCGAAAGTCCGGATAATCGAAAGTCCGGATAATCGAAAGTCCGGATAATCGAATGTCCGGATAATCGAATGTCCGGATAATCGAATGTCCGGATAATCGAATGTCCGGATAATCGAATGTCCGGATAATCGAAAGTCCGGATAATCGAAGTCCGGATAATCGAAAGTCCGGATAATCGAAGTCCGGATAATCGAAAGTCCGGATAATCGAAAGTCCGGATAATCGAAAGTCCGGATAATCGAAAGTCCGATAATCGAATGTCCGGATAATCGAAGTCCGGATAATCGAATGTCCGGATAATCGAAAGTCCGGATAATCGAAAGTCCGGATAATCGAAAGTCCGGATAATCGAAAGTCCGGATAATCGAAAGTCCGGATAATCGAATGTCCGGATAATCGAATGTCCGGATAATCGAAAGTCCGGATAATCGAAAGTCCGGATAATCGAAAGTCCGGATAATCGAAAGTCCGGATAATCGAAAGTCCGGATAATCGAAAGTCCGGATAATCGAAAGTCCGGATAATCGAAAGTCCGGATAATCGAAAGTCCGGATAATCGAAAGTCCGGATAATCGAATGTCCGGATAATCGAATGTCCGGATAATCGAATGTCCGGATAATCGAATGTCCGGATAATCGAAAGTCCGGATAATCGAAAGTCCGGATAATCGAAAGTCCGGATAATCGAATGTCCGGATAATCGAATGTCCGGATAATCGAAAGTCCGGATAATCGAAAGTCCGGATAATCGAATGTCCGGATAATCGAATGTCCGGATAATCGAATGTCCGGATAATCGAATGTCCGGATAATCGAATGTCCGGATAATCGAATGTCCGGATAATCGAATGTCCGGATAATCGAAGGTCCGGATAATCGAATGTCCGGATAATCGAAAGTCCGGATAATCGAAAGTCCGGATAATCGAAAGTCCGGATAATCGAAGGTCCGGATAATCGAAGGTCCGGATAATCGAAGGTCCGGATAATCGAAGGTCCGGATAATCGAAAGTCCGGATAATCGAAGGTCCGGATAATCGAAGGTCCGGATAATCGAAAGTCCGGATAATCGAAAGTCCGGATAATCGAAAGTCCGGATAATCGAAGGTCCGGATAATCGAAGGTCCGGATAATCGAATGTCCGGATAATCGAATGTCCGGATAATCGAATGTCCGGATAATCAAAAATCCGGATAATCGAATGTCCGGATAATCGAATGTCCGGATAATCGAATGTCCGGATAATCAAATGTCCGGATAATCGAATGTCCGGATAATCGAAAGTCCGGATAATCGAAAGTCCGGATAATCGAAAGTCCGGATAATCGAAAGTCCGGATAATCGAAAGTCCGGATAATCGAAAGTCCGGATAATCGAAAGTCCGGATAATCGAAGGTCCGGATAATCGAAAGTCCGGATAATCGAAGGTCCGGATAATCGAAGGTCCGGATAATCGAAGGTCCGGATAATCGAAGGTCCGGATAATCGAAAGTCCGGATAATCGAAAGTCCGGATAATCGAAAGTCCGGATAATCGAAAGTCCGGATAATCGAAAGTCCGGATAATCGAAGGTCCGGATAATCGAAAGTCCGGATAATCGAAGGTCCGGATAATCGAAGGTCCGGATAATCGAAGGTCCGGATAATCGAAGGTCCGGATAATCGATAGTCCGGATAATCGATAGTCCGGATAATCGATAGTCCGGATAATCGATAGTCCGGATAGTCGAAAGTCCGGATAATCGAAAGTCCGGATAATCGAAAGTCCGGATAACCGAAGGTCCGGATAACCGAAGGTCCGGATAATCGAAGGTCCGGATAATCGAAGGTCCGGATAATCCGAGGTCCGGATAATCGAAAGTCCGGATAATCGAAAGTCCGGATAATCGAAAGTCCGGATATCGAAAGTCCGGATAATCGAAAGTCGGATAATCGAAAGTCCGGATAATCGAAAGTCCGGATAATCGAAAGTCCGGATAATCGAAAGTCCGGATATCGAAAGTCCGGATAATCGAATGTCAGGATAATCGAATGTCCGGAATTCGAAGGTCCGGATATTCGAAAGTCCGGATAATCGAGCGGTAACCGGAGATAATCGAAGGTCCGGATAATCGAAGTCCGGATAATCAAAGGTCCAGATAATCGAAAGTCCGGATAATCGAAAGTCCGGATCGAATCGAAAGTCCGTATAATCGAAAGTCGGATAATCGAAAGTCAGGATAATCGAAAAGTCCGGATAATCGAAGTCCGGATAATCGAAAGTCCCGGATATTCGGATATTCGGATAATCGGAATATTCGGATAATCGAAAGTCCGGATATTCGGATATTCGGATATCCGGATAATCGAAAGTCCGGATAATCGAAAGTCCGGATAATCGAAAGTCCGGATATTCGGATATTCGTATATCGCATATTCGGATATTTCGGATATTCGGTTATTCGGTTATTCGGATATTCGGATATTCGGATATTCGGATATTCGGATATTCCGATATTCGGATATTCGGATATTCGGATATTCGGATATTCGGATATTCGGATATTCGGATATTCGGATATTCCGAGATTCGGATATTCCGAGATTCGGATATTCCGAGATTCGGATATTCGATTTTCGGATATTCCGATTTTCGGATATTCCGAGATTCGGATATTCCGAGATTCGGATATTCCGAGATTCGGATATTCCGAAATTCGGATATTCCGAGATTCGGATATTCCGAGATTCGGATATTCCGAGATTCGGATATTCCGAGATTCGGATATTCCGAGATTCGGATATTCCGAGATTCGAATATTCCGAGATTCGGATATTCCGAGATTCGGATATTCCGAGATTCGGATATTCCGAGATTCGGATATTCCGAGATTCGGATATTCCGAGATTCGGATATTCGGATATTTAGATATTCAGATTACTACGATTGGCCAAATCGATTCAGCCGTTTTCGAGTTTTACTTGGACATTTGAAAGAGCGCTCCATTTTTATATATAAGATTACGATAATCGTATAATATTACGATATTACTATGTTTGTACGATATTACGATATTCGTACGACATTATGATATTCGTAAGATATTGTGATATTATGATATTCGTACGATATACGAATTTGTAAGATACTCGTATGAGATTAGAACGGGATTCAATGATATTCAACATAGATAAACAAATATAATTATGAGTATAAATACGAATTTATAATAAAAGATAAACAAGTAAAAGTATAAATATGAGAATCAACGAGATTCGAACCAGATTCAAACGAGATTCTACTAGAACTCCAAGATATAGCCATTACCGACGGTAGCATTTAACACTGACAGAAATCATAAACAATCTCACCTGATTAAGATATAAGAATATAAGCTCAATGATCTTGCAATTGTGTCTGTATAAGATAGATTTATTAATAATAATCAAAATTTGATATATTAAAACAAATGCCATTTGCACCTAGTAAAACTTTAAATTTTCGATAACGACATCAATTTATTATATTTCGGTTATAAAATCATTAAATTGAACGCGAACTAATTGTTATTCACTACTATCACTACTAACTATTCACTATATTAATTAATTATTGATTAAAAATCGCGAACAAGACGCTACAAGAATAATTTGAAGACGAACTGCCATATTAGTTTGACAGCTGGTCCACTGCGAAGCCATTTGCAAATAATTCAGGTGCAGCAACATAACAATGTTCGCATTTAACGACGTCAATGTCCAATCCGTTGTGTGTCGTTAACAAATCTGACGTTTAGGTTACCGTTCTTTCGCGCCGGTTATTACTTTTATCCCTTATCCTTGACAAAAGGATATTATTACTGTTGTGTCAAATTGTTTAAAATAAATTTATTGTTGTGTTTTTCGAAAAAATATATAACAAATAATGGCCGATGAATTGCCTTACAAAGCAGAATATGCTAAAAGCGGTAGGGCTGCTTGTAAAGGATGCAAAACTCCCATATCGAAGGATACTTTAAGGCTTGCCGTGATGGTCCAGGTATAATATTATTCTCCATTATAAATATCTTAAAATTAGACTTTTCTGAATATGCATTATTTATTTATTTGGTACTGATTTTTTTTGCATTGTTATGATACCAAATATTGAAGTTACTTTAACAGGACATCTTTGAGTTAATGTTAGGGTACTTGCTATTGTGTAGATTTAATTATTGTTTTATAATATTTAGCTATGATAATAAAACAAATTTAGCTTCCTGTACTATGTAGTTTAGATACAATAAAATATTATAAAATGGTTATTATTATCATAAATTTACATACACACACATTATATATTATATTACTTCAGAAAGCTAATTCTTCACTGATTTGTTCATATCTTGTTTAATTGTTCAAATTGTTTCTTTCTCTATGCATAACTCTGTTTAAAAGAATATAAACAATCTCTGGTTGACAGTTTGGAGAACAAACATAAGATTTAATTTTACGGCTACATAATTATAAGTAGATACTTTACGACTTGCAGTGTTGTCCACATATAATATTATACTCCATTCTATTGACATATCATTTTTGCTTGGTGACCGATATCTTAAAATTAAACTTATCTGAATATGCATTATTTTATTTGGTACTAATTCTTTTTTGCATTGTTATGATACCAAATATTGAAGTTACTTTAACAGGACATCTTTTTGTTAATGTTAGGGTACTTGTTATTGTGTAGATTTAATTATTGTTTTATAATATTTAGCTATAATGATAAAACAAATTTAGCTTTCTGTACCATGTAGTTCAGATAAAATACAATATTATAAAATGGTTATTATTATCATAAATTTACATGCACACACATTATATATTATATTTCTTCAGAAAGCTTCTTTACTGATTTGTTCATATCTTGTTTAATTGTTCAAATTGTTTCTTTCTCTATGCATAACGCTGTTTAAAAGAATATTAACAATCTCTGGTTGACATTTTGGCAAACAGACATAAGATTTAATTTTACTGCTACATAATTATAAATAGATACTTTACGGCTTGCCGTAATGGTTCAGATATAATATTATACTCCATTCGATTGACATATTATTTTTGCTTGGTGACCGATATCTTAAAATTAGGCTTATGTGATAATGCATTATTTATTTATTTGGTACTAGTTTTTTGTTACGATACCAAATATTTTAATAAATTTAACAGGGTTTTTGTTACTATGTACATTTAATTATCCTTTCATAATAGCTCTAAATTTAAATATCTATATATTTCATTTATAAAACTAACTTTTTTAAATTCAACAGAGGTGTTTCAATTATTTCCAGTTTTTTCTTCATACAAAGTGTAAAAACTATCTAAAGCTTCAGTTTTTGAACTTCCAAAATCCTCCAATTTATTTCTCCCAATTGTTGTGCCTATACATCCCCATGATCGAAACACCCAGTAACTGTAATTTTAATATTTGACCATAAAAAATAATTGAAAATAAAAAATAATTTAGAGCCAAATAAGAAATATGAAAAACAGGTTTATCAATTTACCATTTATTGGAATCAGATTCCAATAGTTGTAAATAATAATAAGAATTTTTATCGGATTGGATATCTGTTTTTCCTAAAACAGCATTTAGAAATTTATCCTATTCTTTAATTGAAAATTCAGCTATAATAATAAAGCATATTTAGCTTTCTGTACTATAGTTAAGATAGAATTAAGTATTATAAAATGGTTATAAATGTTATAAATTTACACACACACATATTAAATATAAAAATAATTACATATGCAATTACATTGCATTACAAAGCTAATCCATTACTGATTTTGTCATATCTTGTGTAGTTTTCATAGTTTTTTCCTAAAATAATTTTTTTCCTTTGCATAACGCTGTTTAAAAGAGTATCAACAATTTTGGTCATGAGACAAAATTTGATAAACTTGTAATTGTTTATTTTTCATCATATGCAATTACATAACATTAAGAAGCTAATTCTTTACTGATTTCGTCATGTCTTGTTTACTAGTTTTCATAGTGTTTTCCTAAAATAATTTCTTGTCTTTGCATATTGCTGTTTAAAAGAAAATCAACAATTTTGGACATGTGACATAAATTTTAATTGTTTGCTAGATAATTAAAAATACTGCTCAACTTGTAATAATGTAATAATTTATTTTCATAGCACTATTTTTATTTTTAATATTATATTGATTCCAGTCTGCATTCCACGATGGAAAACAACCAAATTGGTTTCACATGAAATGCTTTTTTATGAAACAAAAACCAAAAACAGTTGGTGATATTAAAGATTTTGCATCACTTCGATATGAAGATCAGCAAAAGGTGCAAGAGAAAGTTGGTAAGTTTATCTTTGTATTGACATTTCATTGTACAGAATTTCAACTGTACTCCACATTAATAGATATATTTTGAGTAGCATAATGTATATATTATTTTTTTTATTACTTTCAATAGATGCTTGTGGCTCAGGCGCTATCGTTCCTGATGAGAAAGGTAAAGGAAAGAAACGAGCAAAAAATATACCAGGCTTAAGTGACTTTGGTATTGAATATGCTGCATCAAGCAGAGCTGCATGCAGAGGATGTGAACAGAAAATTGCAAAGGTGATATAAAATTTACACACAACGACACAACTATTCATTTTGATATAATATTTCTTTCTATCAAATTATAGTTTAATCTTTACTTCATGAACAGTTTCAAGACTAATACAATTATTTTAAATATTATGCATAATGTTCATGTTTTGACTACTGCAATATTTCTCTATTATCAATATCATTTGTTGTAAATTTTCTTTTTCTTCTTCAGGATGAAATAAGAATTAAAAAGACTGTATATGATACTGAAATCGGAATGAAATATGGGGGACAAGCATTGTGGCATCATCTTGAGTGCTTCGCTAAGGTGAACTTCATATTTTTCAGCTGTTGCATTCATTAAAAATATTATTTTAATGTTTAATTATTTTTCCAGATGAGAACTGAGTTAGAATATTTTGAAAGTGGTGATATATTGCCTGGTTTCAAATCATTATCTAAAAATGATAAAAGTGAAGTTTTAAAACAACTGCCGTAAGTAGTCTTTGCAATACTGATACTAAAGTCTACAATAATTTCCTACACCACAATCTATTTCTCTTTATGTTTTGTTACACAAATTGTATTTTTATTGTAGTAAAATTAAAAGTGAAGATTTACCAGAAGTGAAGAAAATTAAAAAAGAGCCCAAAGACGAAGTAGATACTGCACATGACAACCAAAAAGAGAAAGATTTACAAGAACAAAGTAAAATAATGTTTAAGTACAGAGATTCTTTGAAACAACACTTGAAGAAAAATGATATGATATTGTTATTGGAACACAATAAACAAGAAGTGCCACCTGGAGAAGATAGAGTAAATAGACTTTATTAGTAACAAATATTTATTTTAATAGTTTAATAATTTTCTTGTTAATTTTTATTTTTTTCAATAAGAAAATAATGATTATTTGTTTTTAGATTTTGGACCGATTAAGTGATATAATGACTTTTGGGGCTCTAGCACCTTGTAAGGAATGCAATGGAGGACAATATGTATTTGAGAACAATGGATATATGTGCCATGGTAATTATTATTTGGAAATAATTTAAAGGATTTTCACTTAATGCATATATATTTACATCATTTTTATTACACAGGTGATTTAACGGAATGGACAAAATGTAAAAATTTTACATTAGAACCAAAAAGAGTACCTTTCAAGGTTCCAAGTGACTTAAAGAAAGAACATAGTTTTCTTAATAAATATAAGTATAAACCTAGAACACGAATCATTAAATATGTTGCACCCAGTGTTTCGACCAAAAAAATTAAAAAATCTGATGAAGAAGATGGGTAAATATATATTATCATTTATTTTTTGTTATCTATGTAGATGTAATTTCATATTTTTTTATTTGATTAAAAATTAAATAATTTAATTTTTTTTTGTAGACCAAAAGTGAAGCGTGCAGCCCCTCCATTAAAGAATATGGAGTTTGTTTTTATTGGTAAAACAGAGACACCGAAGGAAGATTTGAAAAAAATGATTGTAAAGCTAGGTGGAAAAGTTGGATCCAAAGTGCATGAGAAAGTAGCCGCTGTGGTTGGAACAAAAGAAGATATTGAAAAGATGGGATCCAAAATGCAATCAGCAAAAGAGTTAGGAATACAGGTGACTAAAGTTTTCTTCATTATGCTTGTAATTATATTTAATATCTTTAATATGTATTTTAATTTTGGCAGGTCATTCCTGAATCTTACTTCGATGATATCAAAGATGGTGGTGCCGTAAGTTATATCACAACTATGAGTTTATGTGATTGGGGAAATGATGTACGTGAATATTATTAAGTTTTGAGGCAAATTCTATTACTATCAATTAATATTTCTTGTTCCATTATCTAGCCAAGAACTCGAATCCCCACAGATGAAGAGAAAAGTAAAAAATCTAAGAGTATTTACACAAAATCCTTGCCATCTAAAGTCACATTAAAGCTCAAAGGTTTGTTTATATTTTGAAAGACTTCATTATCTTATTATTTATGACTTAAAATTGGAATTAAAAATTTTTGTAGGTGGTGCAGCCGTTGATCCAGATTCTGAATTGCAAGATGTAGCACACATTTATAAAAAATCTGATAAATTTTTCAATGCTGTTTTAGGGAAAACAGATATCCAATCAGATAAAAATTCTTATTATAAATTACAATTATTGGAATCTGATTCCAATAAACGGTAAATTGATAAACTTGTTTTTCATATTCTTTATTTAGCTCTACATTTTAATTTTATTTTCAATTATTTTTCATGGTCAAATTTTAAAATTACAGTTATTGGGTATTTCGATCGTGGGGACGTATTGGCACAACAATTGGGGGAAATAAATTAGAGGATTTTGGAAGTTCAAAAACTGAAGCTTTAGATAGTTTTTATACTTTGTATGAAGAAAAAACTGGAAATAATTGGAACACCTCTGGAGAATTTAAAAAGGTTGGTTTAGATTTAGTTTTATTAATAAAATATGTAGATCTTTAGATTTAGATCTTAGTAGTTTTTTTTAACAATTTACGTGCTGATAATGTAATAATTAATAATTATTTTACTGCATTTATTGCTTGTAGATGCCTGACAGATTTTATCCAATTGATGTTGATTATGGAGAGGATGATGCTGTTAAAAGCTTGGATTCTTCAGATGTGAAATCCAAACTTTTAGAACCCATTCAAAATTTGGTCAAAATGCTTTTTGATGTTAATACTATGAAGAAGGCTATGTTGGAATTTGAGGTTTGTTTTATTTATATATTGGAAGATCTTTAGGTTATTGCAATTTTTTGAACTATTATAGTTTTGTATTTATCTATTAACAGCTTGATATGGAAAAGATGCCTCTGGGAAAATTGAGTAGAAAGCAAATTCAGTCTGCATATTCTGTATTAACCGAGATAAGTGAGCTTATTAAAAATGGTGCTGCAGAATCTAAATTCATTGATGCTTCTAACAGGTATAATTATTAATATATTAGCATAAAACACAAAACACTTAAATTATTGCCTAATTCCAGGTTTTACACCCTAATTCCTCATGACTTTGGTATTGAAACACCAACTATTCTCTCAACTGTAGAAGAGTTGAAGGTAAGTTATATATCAATTTTCTTCTTTCAATGGGCAATAATATTATATCATTTTATTTATTTTAGGCTAAAACAGATATGCTTGAAAGTTTGCTAGAAATAGAAATAGCATATTCGTTATTGAAATCAGAAGATGAATCAGCAGAAGGTGTTTCTCCAATTGATACTCACTATAAACAGCTTAAAACAGATATGTCTGTTTTGGATAGAGAATCTGATGAATTTAAAATGCTTGCTAAGTATGTACAGAACACCCATGCTGCCACCCATCAACAGTACGATTTGGAAATACAGCAGGTACTTATTGATAACAGTTTTAGTCATATTAAAAAAATACATTCTCAGCAAATAAGAATTTACATAATAATCTTTAATAATTTTATAGATTGTTTCTGTATTGCTAAAAGCTACTACTTTTTAATCATTACTTTGTTCCTTTGAAAATATTTGTTAATATTGTGAAGTATTGTTTTCACAACTTTTCTGTTTATAATGATAAATATTTAATAATTATGACTTTTATGTATTATTTCAATTTTTTCACCCATATAAATGTTATCAAATATTGCAGATATTCAAAATCAAAAGAGAAAAGGAGGATAGACGGTATAAGCCATTTAAGAAATTACATAATCGCAAGCTGTTGTGGCACGGATCTAGACTTACTAATTATGTTGGTATTTTGTCACAAGGTAAATTATTTTATAAATTTTTTATATTATTACATGCAAGGCTACAACTAACTGTAATATTTAACATAATTCACAAAAAATTACTTTGTTATTTTGGAAATTTAGCAGAGTTACTTAAATTCATTAATAAATTTTAAAATAAAATTTTACCGTATATGTAATTTTAATTTCAGGTTTACGTATTGCTCCTCCTGAAGCTCCAACAACTGGTTATATGTTTGGTAAAGGTATATACTTTGCGGATATGGTTTCCAAATCTGCAAATTATTGTTGCACTAGTGTAACAAATCCTGTTGGTTTAATGCTGCTATGCGAAGTCGCTTTGGGAGATATGTTAGTACAATTTTATTTCATTATAGGAATCATATAAACATGACCAAAGTGATTTAACTCAATTAAATTTTGAATATTCGTTTTTATTTTCAATAGCATTACAACAACTTTTATATTATTTTGATTACTACTGATTATGTGATAATTATTATTTTTTCAGGCTTGAGTGCACCCAGGCTAAATACATTACTAAACTTCCAAAGGATAAACACAGCTGCAAAGGTGTCGGTAGAACTTATCCTAATGACAAAGAAGCATTCAAACGTGAAGATGGTGTGGAAGTACCTTTGGGAACTTCTGTTACAGATGATAAATTGAAATCATCATTATTATATAATGAGTATCCTTTTATAAAAAAAAATCATATTTTATTTTTGATTTTTGGTTATCTTATTAGTACTTATTTGGTAATGATAACTTGCTTTGATATTATGTTGCTATTTATGTTTTTTCCATATATTTTTCTTAATTTGTTTATTCAGATACATTGTATACGATGTTGCACAAGTCAATTGTCAGTACTTGTTCCAGATGAAATTCAATTACAAATATTGAATTTATTGAATTATCCATACCTCCTCTTTGGTACTAATGTACGAAAGGTTTGCTATTATTATTAGAGTAAGCAAAGTAAGTTACCTTAAGTTTATTATGTTTATGAAATTGTTATTAATGTGTAAAACGCATTGAATTTCCCTTTTTATGACAAAGTGGTATTTGTCAGATACTTTGTTGACTTGATATTATGCTTTGTATTGCTGTATTCTAATACATCACTGATATTTTTTTATACCATTTTAGAATATAATTGTTTTATATAATTTGTCTTCTTCTTCTTATGGTATATTTAATTATTAACTTCCCGTAAGTTATAGTAATCGCAAAAAAATTTGTATATATCTTTACATTTCAAAGGTTTCTGAGTATTTTGGCATACCTTAGAAAAAATGGATGCGTGTGTGTGTGCGGATACAAATTTTCGTCGATGTTTTCGGGAACACCGATCAACCGATTTGAATAATTCAAAAAACATTCGATTCGTATTGATAAGGAGACGTGATTAATTTTCGAAGATACGGGACAATAAGTGTCAAAAACAGTAAATCAGTTTTTAAGAGAACGTAGCGCCCGATTTTAATAATTCAAAAAACATTTTACTTGTATTGACAAGGTGAAAAACTGATTAAGTTTTTGGGAAGGCAGGTCCAGCGGTTATGGATTCTCAATAAAATAAGTTAAAAAAATGAAATTTGGCGGTCAAAAATATTTATTGGACATATATACATCAAATTATCAGATATTTCATAGAGATTTTAATAATGTGTGCACATATTGTGTAAAATTTTTGGGTTTCGTACTATGATTTTTAATTACGGTACGGGAAGTTCTAGCAATTTGCTTAAGGCAGGATGCCAGGCACCCACTAGTTTATTAATACTTTGCAATTAGAGCATACTTAATCTTCTGCTTATAATTTTCACCACAAAAACAGTCTTATTCTCAAACAGGTCCAGATATATGTAATTTATTAACTTCATTAAAATATTAATATAATATTTTAATTTTCTATTTATTTCGCTTATAGAAAGCAATCAAATCGCGTCCATTACCCATAGATTTTTGTGAAAATAAATTCCATTCTTCAGAATTCCTGAACATAGGTTTCCACGGCAGAGGCTCTGTGTAAACATTTTGTCCTTCCTTAGGTCCTATTATTACTATCACATTTCCTTTATAATTATCAACATAGTTATTAAATGCATTACTATTATTAAAATAGCAAAACAGTAAACCGAAATCATTATGGTTTTCCGCATTGTTATTTAATTTATCTAATGATTCTTCGTCTTTATTTGGTATCACTATTTCTTTATTCATTACGAAGTCTATGGGGTTTATTTCACTTCTTGATACAAAATTTAAAGGTAAAAATGGCACAGAGCAATGCTTACTGTTCCACCAGCCTTCATCGATTTCTAATCCTGTTATGGAAACTCCTGTGTATATATTTATAAGCCACTCCAATAATCCTGAACCGCATCCTATGCTTAAATATCCTCTTGAAAGGCTGTAAAAATAATAATAGTAATAGAAACTTTGGAATAATAGTTTGGTTAGTTATTAATAGTTTCTGTTATTTGTTTTTAACAAAGTATGATCACTTTGTTTAATGCAAACACTTTTTGCCTTGTAAATATCCTTTTGAAAGACTAAAATGAAGGAAATATGACTTCAGTTTTATGTTAAGTTTCTTATATTTCTTTTCAACAAAATATGAAAACATTGATTGTAATCAAATGATTTTATCCTTGTGTTGATATATTCATCTGTTTATTAACTTTTGGTGCCAGCAAATTTAGTAAATTGATTTATGATTAATATTTTTAGTCAAAATGTAAGCAAGTAAACAGAACTTGTTTGCATCATGAGAGTATAAAAAATTAAATATGCATTTCAATTCATATAATTTATTTTTCATTTAATTTTTTAAAATTAATAAGTATGTATTAATAAAAAAAATAGTGCGTTCTGTTTAATTTTGATATTTAATTATTTAACTATTTTTGTTTTAAAAATAAAAAGCAAAATAATAATAGAAAATAATAATAATGAAAAGAAAACAAGCAGTTTAGTTTCGTAATGCTTTCACGAGTTATCACAAGAAAATAGTGTTAATTTGTGCACATTTTTTTATAAAAACTTTTTTTTTAATTTGGTTTAAATTTACCTTTCTTCCTTTGCTAATTCCGCTATGAAAATTAAGTCTTCTATATGGGGCCAGGCCCATAAATAACGTTTTCTAATATCCAACATAATTTCTGGAGGCACTAAAGATTCCATTTCTATTATATCTTTCCAGTTTTTTTCTGTGTGTAGTTCCAACAGGTGTGAATTCCACTTATCTAGTTCTTCAGGATTTAAAATACCCATTTTGTGTTTTTAATTTTTTAATTTTTGCGTGAATTTATTAAACTGATTATTTCACACACTGTTTATAATTCATTTAATTTATATGGTATAAATTTTAATTATTTTTTATTACAATTATTTAACTTCACACACGAATGCGCACTCGGAAACTCTTCAGATCTGACTCTTACATGTTTGAAGCTTTAACGAATAAAGATATTCATATCCAATATTATATAAAAAAAAGTTGGACCTTCATTTGAGAGTCTAGTTCAAGGTTAAGACAAAATTAGTTGCAAGTAACGTTTTCTATTTTCATGACGCCACGTGCCTAACTACAGCAAAAATTGGCATATGAAAATTTATGCTCGAGTTCACAGAACTAATAATCTCAACTACTAAAAATAGTATGATTTAACCAACCTATTTGGGCTAAAAGACCCACTGGTTAAAGGACTTAAATAAATAAATTAACCAACCTATTTAAATCGTGAATATTTTTTAATATCGTTTGTGTTTGTTAATTGTTATTTGCAATGAAAATCATTTCTGTGTGCAATTAATTTCAATTTAGATTTTATATGAAGTATCGCATTTTTGCGAATTAATCTAAAAAGAGGTTTTGAGTATAGTTTTGAGATCAATGACTAGAATGAATAAATGGCGTAAGGCAGTTATTAAACTATTATTTTCTCTAATTATATTATTTAATTAGTCATATGGAAATTTATGCTGTAGTTCAGTGGAATTACGTCACAACTAAGAATTCATAAATTGTTCATTGATTATTTCATTTCATTGAATTGTTGAATATAATGAATAGTGACCCTAGTTGAAGGTCGATGAATATAAAACATTGTAATATTCAAATTGAACTTGAAAATATGTATTTGAATATTAATGTTAAAAATTCAAATAGTATAGTGGAAGTTGATTTTTCACAATTTTTTCTAGAATTTGTAAATAGGTCAAAAATTATTATTTTTTGGTCATTTTTACTTTAAAATGATGACACTAATGATTTTATGTTACTGCAAAGAAAGTAGTGGATCATATTTGACTTTTTTGGGTTCTGCTTATATAACTTTTTGTAGAGTTATATTTATTTAATGTGAAAAATTAAAAATTCTACCACGTTATTGGGGAATTAATCGAGGTCTATGATCACTAATTTAATTCGTAGACTATGTACCAATTATTTTAATGAGCATTATTTTAACCTTGGTTTGCTACACGATAGTTGCTTTATAATTATTTACTTTATTTCTTATAAAAACAAATATTTTACATTATAGGTCTTTTACTTTAAGTATGTTATTGTATAAAAACATATGCTGGTCAAGATCATTATATTTTCTGGGTCATTTATTGAAAACTATATAGCAGATAACCATACATTTTTTTAATCTGAACTTTACGTAGATGTTTTATGTATTACTGGTTAATTTCGTTATTTTGCATCGTTCAATATAAGGGAACGACTTTCATTTTTATAAAATGAAAGATTGTTATATCTAATCGGAATTATCATTAAATGAATTGTTTATTATCACACATTCTAATTATTTGTAATAATTTATCAAATAAGTAAAATAATGGAATGAAAGGCACTATTCAAATTTTTTTATCTGTATTCCTTCCTTCCTTCTTTCACATTGACATGTTCAACTATGGAGGAAAAATTAATATTATTATACACATCCAACTTTATTCATTCAGTCTGTAATTCTTTGGTGCAATTTAATTCGAGAACCATTTTTATAAAAAAAATGATCACGAAACATTTTAATCAAACTTCTCCATAATTGATTCAAAAAATAATCCAAAGACATGTATCTTCTTCCATCATTCAATAATTAACAAAATATGATATACATCCAACAATTAAGGAAAAATTAACAAAATTATTACCAAACATGAAGTAGTGAACAAATTCTCGAATATTCTGAATCGATTTTCGAATGGGAAAGCAAAAATATTTTAAATAAATCTTTCATCAGGCTTCAGTTTAGTAATGTAGTGCAATTAACAATAACTTGTTTTAATAACATATTAATTACAATTAATCAAAATTATAACAATATTGATTCATTCGTTCAACAAATATTCTGAGTGTACCCGTATTTATAGTGTAGATCACTTTAGTTTACAACATTCTTATAAAATTTACTTTATATAATTAATACGTTTAGTATTAATATTAAAAATTACTGTTTTTTATACAATATATAAAAAATCTTGCAGTTTACAAAGTCATGTTTGGGTACAGTATTTTAACAATAAAGTTTTAATATAACTCTAGCTAATTTTTTGGTGTGGCACTTTTTCATATCGAGTTTTCAAGAACTACTTATTTGAGTTACTTGAAATTTCTATTCAATATTTTTTAATATAAAGTCTATAATACAAAAATATTCAAATTTTCTTGATTTTTATTAATCTATGTGCCGACGACCGATCTTATATAGGTAAAATATAGCTAGATATGAAAAGTTTCATATATTATTCTAATCTAAAGGCAAACGTCTAGTTGTATCAGGGCTGCATTATATAATACAAAATCAGTCTATGACTACAATAACACAAAAAGCTTTCAGGTATTTATTATTAGTTTTGACATGTCCAGGTAACTAGATAATGGTTATCAATGTGTTTTAGAGACATTGAGTTATCCGACTCATCAAAAATAAAATTTACAAAACGGTTGATTAGCAATCAAATTAGAACATTTCTATTACATAAATCTGATAATTTTCATGCCAACGACCTGGGATTTGATAACAATTTTCAAAAATATTTCCAACAAAATCTAGACACACAATCTGCAAACAAATTATGGCACAATTTAATACGGCTTGATCTATCCCGAAAGCTTGATGTGTAGCTAATTATTTTTATCTGCTAATTGATAATGTTTATCTCATCTGGAGTAGTTGATGAAGATGAACAAAAATAATGCAAAAACGCAGTACATGTTCGTACAAAATTGCCGGCATTTTTGAAATTTACTAACGTGTCGTACTAGAGGCCTTCTTTGGCTGCAACGCCATTCGTGCTGCGGCAAGGCGTCACAATGCAATAATCTACCGCAGCGGTAGAAGCATGGTAACGGCATTGTCCTGAAAAAAAAGAAATAATTAAAAATGAATACGATTCTTTTATTAATACTCACATGTACATGGTGTCCCAGAATTCAACGTCAAGCCGATACGTGAAAGGGTTCATTGTAATCATGACACAATTATCCCATGCAGATTGAAAATTATGAGCTTTTTTAAGTTAAATCTAGAGCTTCAGTGTAATGAATCTTGTCACCACCTTGTAGAATTAATGTTGAGTTCTGGGACAACCCATGAAAGGGGTAACTATCATGAAAAAAATTAGATAAACGTATTATCTTATGTAATTTAAAAAATATGAGCTTTAAAAGGCTACCGATAGCTTTGGTTAAACGGTGACCATCATACGGTTTTTGTGGTTTATTTTTATTATTTTTGTTCATTAAAACTTTGAAACCCTGACCGTGAATAAGATTTTTAAGACCACAGCAAAAAATAGTGACACAATTGCCCCAAGTTTTTAAGAAATAACGCTTAATTCATGTTCTTAAATTTAACATTTTTACAAAAAAGGCTTGAAAGTGCTGAAGGATCCATCAAAAGTTTATGATTGTAAAATGATATAAATACTTGATAGTACTAAAAATAGCACAAAAAATGTAAAAATTTTACCATTCTGATTAAATGCATCAACTATCTTGATGAAACTTGCCAACACATTTTCGTGCATTTTTTTAAAGATGACCTTTAACTACCTTTTTAAATTCATAGTTTAATAAAATTCTTTTTTCTCGAAAACTTGGAGCAATTGTGCCATTATTTTTGATTGTGGTTTTACAAATGTTGAGTAACCACAATCACCAAAAATAACTCGTAATTCATCTTCTTAAATTCAACTTTAAGAGGCCCTCATTTACAAAAAAGGGCACTGAAGTGTGGCTAGATCCATTAAAAGTTGGCACATTTAATAATGAAAGTAAAATAGTAAAATTCTTTATAGTTTCATAATAAAAGAAATCCATTAACAAAATAAAAATCTAAAGATAGCACGTAAAATGGTAAAATTTTACAATCGTCATGAAATGCGCCAATTTTTTATGGAACTTGCCAACACACTTTGGTGCCATTTGTTTTAAAGGTAAAATGGTCTCTTTCGACTTTATTTCTTGGAAACTTGGGACAATCATCATAAAAAAATATAAATCTAAAAAATTACATGTAAAATGGTAAAATTTTACAATCCTGATGAATGCGCCAATTTTGTATGGAATTTGCCAATACACTTTGGTGCCCTTTTTTTAAATGTGAGAAGCGGTTCTTTTTCGACTTTATTTCTTGAAAACTTGGGGCAAGACCAGTAACACCGTCTTAGATGTTATTTACGGGTTGGATACCAAAGTTTAAATGACCAAAAATAATAAGAAGTAACAACAATATTCAAAAATTGCTTACAAGCTCCGAGTTACTTTTAGAAGCTCACAATTTTCAAACTACTTGAGATATTTTTTCCAATTTTTTTTATAATAGTTACTTGGCTTGACATTGTCTTCTGGGACACCCTGTACATTATTACATCTAACAATTCCACTTTACCTTGCTAATTCGTCCAATGCTGGCCTGTGTATTAACATCTCCATACAAGAAGCATTAGGGCAAGTATTTCCGATTCGCATGCAGTTGGCGCAGACCGCGTGGCCGCTGCTGCATGCCCTTACAGGCGGCAACACGTGGCGCGTGCAGAGAAAACAACGAGGAGCCATCGACGTCGATATAGGTTTCAGCAACTGCTTCGCACGATGTTCTAGGAACACGTCTTCGCTCAGTGTGATTATCCTGTGATCCATTACTAGAAAGGAAAAAAACAGGTTATTTTATAATATATATAATTATTGCAAATCAGTAATAATATTTTTATTATACACTTTTAACAGGTAATCAGAATTTAACGAGTGTACGGGTTGGTGTGATTATGTCTCAAACGTACTGCGGATACCCTAATCAGTATTTATATGGTGTACGCACAACAACATTTTTGTGTATAAAGCTATTATTAAGCCAATTTGGACATACTTAAGCCTTTACTACGCAGGCGACTTAAGAAAAGAAGCTGTATGAATTATTAAATTTAATGCTATAATTTCAAAAGGTGCTGTGAGAGAATAGTTATCTTTCACAATAATAGCTGAATGTACTTATTGTAAAGTTTGCTATGTAAAATGAAAAAGGACCTACGGTATACTGATATGGGACTTCCAAATCGTACGATATAAAAATCAAGGGTTCCAAAATAAATTACTTAAATAGATTTTGAATACCACAATGCATGTTTGTACCGAATAAACAATAACACATTCAGACAATTACAAAAGCCGCCTCGAGGATCATCCGAACTCGTTTGCTAGAGAACTATGCAACAGCACTGCCAGAGTAAGATTGAAGATTAAGATTAACATTTGTCAATTTTTCAAAATCTTTGACGAGGACCATCCTAACTTCACGTATGTGTTATCAATGATACATCAGCAAGTTGCACTTGTGAAAAAAAATGTTTTGTGCGTTTTGTAGGTCAGGTTTAATGTGATTGCAAAGCAAATTTATAGTTCGTTACTACTAATTCATACGAAGATAGATCCGTAACATTGAATTACAATATTTCTATTTAAACCGAGAATTGGCCCCAACAAATAATTGTACCCTTCGATAAAATTAATTTATTGTCGAAATATTCTATTAACTATATTTTAAGTCTTTTCTATCACATGTGGTCACACAACAGAAATCACCTGAAAGGTTTATTTATTATTTTTAGGTAATAATATTGCATTCAATTCATTCTATGTTTTGGTCGCCTCGATAGTGAGTATTTTTTTGCAAAGAAGTCGTTGATATTAGGCCATGTTGGGCCTACATTTAATATATCTCATATTGATCATAACCTAGTAATAAGTCATTGTGTGCAAATAAATATCCTTTAAGTTTTTGATTTTCTTTAAATGTGATTGAAGCTCCTGTTTACGAGTGGAGTTTGCAAAGTTGTTGTTTTGAACATAAACTAATAATGGATTAGAAGACTGTGAGTGACTTTGAGATACTTTTTGATTATTGTTTTAATAAATAAGTTTGTGTATGTGTGCTGTTAATCATATAAAGTATTAGGATTCTATTGCAGTGGTTTAATTTATTAGTATTAAAGTGAAAATGTGTCTACAATGAATCGCCCATCAAATGTGTTTGGGAAAATGAATCTCAGAGTTTACAATGCAGTATCAGAGTTTACGAGTGCGGCCTTTACGTGTACAGGTTAGTAACATATAATATTTATATAAATTTTATAATTTATTTATATTATTTATTAAAGACATTGAATTATCTATGATAAATATGTATGTATAGTATAAATACTCAAGTCTCTGTCTGGAGGTCCACATATGTGTTCCAATTGTTAGTTCGGTTTATAACGATATTTCACAGGATGTTTGAGTGATCAAGGTTCAATTTTTATTAATAAATTATAAAATGATCACCAAAAATAGATCAAATTAATCAAAATGCCGTTCAATTTCCCATGTACAGTTTTTTCACTTATAGATAAAAATATTATTATAAAAAATTGATCTTACGTTATGTCACTGTTTCTTATTATTTGTTGACCCACTTAACAATATATTTTTTTAAATCTTCAAGCAAAAACAGTGTCACATGCACAAAGATTGATTCTAATCACATTATAATGAACATTTGTTATTTATGCATCAATTTGCATCGTCTTTATATATAAATGAAAACAACGATTTTATGCATGATTTGTTATGTTGACGAATGTCCGATTAGATGTTAAATTGCGGTCAAAGAATAGTTAATGATAAATTATTTTGATTTTTGTCAAAATTCTAATTGATGATGTAATGAGATTTGTAAGGTCAGCAGGTGCTAAAAGTCGTGTTTTTGTCCTAAATTTTGTGTTTGTCTGTCTGGGCATTTAATTAAAAATTTGCATCAGACTTCATTTAAAATTTAAATGTAGTTATATGCTTTACTTTCAATTGCACAAAATTGCTGATTATTAATACCTTGTTTATATATATATATATATATATATATATATATATATATATAAAGAAACTCGTGTTCTCTATACTACGAATATTGTTTATTATGACAATAGTAATAACACTATGTGTGATTATATTGATCATTTACAAAAACGTAGATGTTATTTCAGTATTTATAATAAAAAAAGGAAAAAAGTTAAGAATTATAATTTTGGCATTTCGAACATTGAGCAAACAAAAACGAGATCTGATCTGACACTTGAACTTTTTGTTTTTGAGCTGACACTATGATGAGCTTCAAATAATGAACATCTGTCAAGTTAAAATGCGACGTGTGTTGACAGGTCGCTACAGATCACTCCGATTCCATAAAATATTATTTATATTTCGTTTATTTTATATATGATTAATATCCACGACACTATGTGTTGTCATACTAATCGTTAATAAAATGTTATTGGTATTTTCGTATTTATAATTGAAAAGAAAGGTTTTAAGAATCATACATTTTAGGCAAATTCGACTAGGGAGAAACAAAAGCCGTGTCCGATCTGACACTTGAATTTCCTTTTGTTTTTCTCAGTGCTGTCACTATATGGGCCAATCTGTCCAGAGACATGTGATGCGTGTTGACAAGCCGCTATGCGTGTTGGCAACCCGCTACATCACTCCGCCCTAATGAAAAAGATTGTTTCGCATCTCTGACTGCCATTCTTGAACTTCCTTGTGAATTTCTTTTGGTTGAGATTGTGTGATAAATTGCCGTGTTGGCTTGTTGAGTTTGTTGATTGCTTACGTGGCCCTTCGCTGGTGAGTTAGCGGTTGAGTAGATGTGGCCCTTCGCTGGTGAGTTAGCGGCTGAGTATATTTGACACTTCGCTGGTGAGTTAGCGGTTGAGTAGATGTGGCCCTTCGCTGGTGAGTTAGCGGCTGAGTATATTTGACACTTCGCTGGTGAGTTAGCGGTTGAGTGTATGTGGCCCTTCGCTGGTGAGTTAGCGGTTGAGT